TGAGCCACTTGGGCACGACAGCTTGCACCCGCCTGTGCCACGTCGGGCATGGGCTTGGATCCAAACTCCTCCTTGGGCGCTCAGCCAGAAAGCACTGAGTGAGGCATCGGGTTGCTCTAGACTCTAGTCCGCTCAACAACAGGAATACAAGTCTAGGCAAAACGCAGCCCTGCCAGCTGGGCCTGAACAAGATTCAAATAAACATCCAGCTTGTCAGGGCCTCAGTTTGTGAACTCACGTTCAGTGAAACCTTGGGACAAAGCCATGGTATGAGCCTCTGGCGCCTGATTGAACTAAGTAGCCAATATCTACGACTTGGCATTGCAGGAAAGCAATCGCCGTTTGGGCAAAAAATTGCATGTGCATTGGGCTACCTGCTATCGGCGTTGGCAAATGATCACATGTGGTGCTTGGCTAAACATGGAACAAATCAGGCGGGCCTGAAAGCAGAACAATCTTCCGCCCAGCAAACTTTGAAATCCCAAAACTGGCTCCGGTGCACCCGCGTTTCCTCTCAAAATGCTCCAACTTCAAGCAACCCCAATTCATGGTCGGCCTCGTAAGGGTCTCCCAGGATGCCCCCTTCCGCCCCCAGGGATGCCGCCCCCCGCGCGTCGAATCGCCTTCATGCGCTTGCTGGTCGACTCGAGCTGCGTCTCCAGCTCCCGCACCAAAGCTTGCAGCTCCTGGCGAACTGTAAAAATCCGAACCGGGAGAGGGAAAAAACGGCGGCAAAAATGAAGGCCGTTGGAATTGTAAAGAAATATATATATATATATATATATATATAGAGATCATCTACATTTTGCATATCATTCCTGTTTGTGCTCTGTCCCATTTGCAAATTCAAAGCGCATGCTTTTTGAAAAATGACCCACCTGCAGGTCATTGCATAACATTCCTGCCTGTTCCGCATCCCATTTGCAACTTCTCAGTCAACTGCATTCAATTTGAAAATCGAACTTTTAATAAGATTGCATCGTTATTAAATTGTTCAAGTTCTGCTTCAAGGTTACTCGAGACCCTGTTGAAAAAAGGAAACATATCTAACTTCTCAATAAAATTCGGATCAAACTCTTCATGGTTAGAACGGAATTCCTCTTCAAATTATCTTGCTGGAAAACGATTTATCTGAGATGTCCCACCTGCAGGCCATTACACACCATTCCTGCCTGTTTTGTGTCCCATCTGCGACTTTATATGAAATTCAATCCATTTCAAAATGAAACTTCTAACGAGAGTCCACCGTTGTTAGATTCTACTCAAATGCCTGTTTATATCCTGAGTTATATTTGGAGTTCTGAATAGATTCGTTCAGGGTTTTGATCTGCTAGAACAAAAATACTAACATGAAAATCATGTCTGGAAAGGATAGTTGAATTTGGTATCAGGAGCCTTGAAAAAATATCTTGAAGAGAGAAGCTTCATAAGAGGCCTTATAAGGAACTTTGCAAGCAGCTTTAGAAGGATTTGCGCAAGGACAATGAGCCAAGATTTATTTGACTAGCCCTACAAGGAGCTAAAGGGAGCCGAAAAAGGAGCCTTACAATGTAAAAGTCGAAATTCTATGCCAGATCTGTCCTTTTTAAGCTCTGTTTAGATTCCAATACTTTGTTCAAACAAAGTCCAGTGGGCAAGAATGTCCTTCTTCGCTGGTAAAAATGTTCAGCAAAAGATCGTGTGCATATATGCTCACACCTTCAGCAAGAACATCAGGGAGCAAATCTCAACAATAAACAACAAAACCTGATGAACAATGCCGACAAACCAAAAAATATGATTGGCTGGCTGATCTTCCGTACATGTCAAAGGAAAAAGCGAAAAAGCCAGTAACGTGTTTGGCCTTTGGGAGGGATAATGCAAAAAGGGAAGCAAACTGTGGGAAAAAGAAAAAACCAACAAAACTCCAGAAAACAAAAGAAAAAAGTGATGCCACCCCTGTTCGTAGCATGTAGCAAGCAAACTCGCCGATGTCTGTTTCTAGTTTTTGATCAGGCAGAAGTATTGCTTGCGGAAATTTCAGAGGGACTGAGAACTTCTAGTTTGGATATTTGGGATTCAGATGTCTCTGCCTCTGCCTTTTTTTCATCTTCTTATTCTTATTGTTCTGCTTCTTTTTCTTCTTCTTATTGGATCCTTGAATATGTGACTTGAGGTGCGCTTACCGGTTCCAGGCTTGGTCAAATTTTGTCTGCTACCAAGTCACAGGCTTGGCTCATCTTGACCTGGCATTCTTGCCTGAGACTTTTCAGGAGAGACATGCACGAACTTGCTCGCTGAGCAGGCTGTTTCCTTGATGAATGCCCCATGACAAGGTCTGCTTCATCTTCCAAATCTCCTTGCCCCTGCCCACCAAAGTGTGGCAAAGTCGGCAACCATTACTTTTGACCGCTCTTGGCAGGTCAAGTTTCCTTTGCACCAGCCTCTTCGGTTGATTCTGAGACTGACAGTCTGCGCCAACATTTTAGAAACTGACTCCTGTGGGCTTGTCTTGAAGTTTTGTGCCCAGCTGCTTGTTGGCTTTCTTGTAGAAATATGAAACCCAGCAGGCGTTACCAGGTCAAACGTGGATGCACAGCCGGTTTTCTGCCTTTCCCCCCCTCTCGACGCGCCTGAAATTCCCTTGCCTCCAGACACATTTTTCTGTTTTCCCAGCCTGACCCCACATCACTCCGTTGCCCCGTTTCCAAAAAGACCCCAGCGGCCAGACACAGAAGCCGAATCGGAGTGCCGCAAAAATATACACTGCAGGTTGTCCAAACGGGCTCATTCAGCCGCCGTGCAACCGTTGTTAGGTGGGCTTTGGAGGTTGGCACCATCAAATGATGGTAAAGAACACGACAGAACCAAACTGAAGCCAGCGGAACTCCCATCTTGCCAGCCAGTCAATTTTTAGTTTCCCCCAAATAGACAATCATCAATTTAGACCAGGGTTCCCGGATCCGATTTGCTCCCAAAAAAGGGTTCCACACTTCGAACATAACAAAAATAGGAGCGTTCCACGTTGGAATGCGTTGAAGCTAATCGGACATGATCCATTTTTATGTCAAAGTCAAACAAACAAGGCCTGGGAAGGGCAAAGATCAGGAAAGACTATTGGTCGAGATATAAGTCGGAATCTATTCATCTATCTATTTGTCTGTCTGTCCATGCATCCATCCATCCATCCTTTCGTCCGTCCATCACGTCTGTCCGTCACGTCCGTCCGTCCGTCCGTCTGTTTGTCTGTCTGCCAGTCTGCCTGTCTGTCTGTCTGTCTGTTTGTCTGTCTGTGTGTGTCTCTGTGTGTGTGTGTGTCTGTGTGTCTGTCTGTCTGTCTGTCTGTCTGTCTGTCTGTCTGTCTGTCTGTCTGTCTGTCGGTCGGTCGGTCGGTCGGTCGGTCGGTCGGTCGGTCGGTCGGTCGGTCGGTCGGTCGGTGGGTCGGTCGGTCGGTCTGTCTGTCTGTCTGTCTGTCTGTCTATCTAATCGATCTAATATATCTAATCTATCAAACCTATCTACTCTATCCAATCTAATCTGACTAATCTATCTAGTCTATTTGTCTGTCCATTTTATCTTGTCTTGTCTTGTCTCATACTGTCTTGTCCTGTCTTGTCCTATCTTCTGTCTCTGTCTATTTATCTAAGCCATACTATATGTATGTAGAATACAACAATATATATATATATATATATACTTATATACATATGGTCAGCCCCCCATGGTCTACCTATTGCTTGTTGGCGTCGCCAAAACTGTGATATTTAAGAGTTGTCGACTGATGTTTAAGATGCAAGTGTGGGGCATTCCATGTTGAGTTGGGCAGATGTCCACAAATCAAAAACCTCGAGTTTGTTTGTGTTTTTTTCCTGAACCATGCCAAACAACAAAATAAAACAGAGGGAAAACAAACAGAAACAAGAAACACCTCGAGAGCACCAAAACAACATCGTCCAATAAACAAGTTGCTGAAGCCTCTCACTGGCAGGTGCGACGACATCCTTAAATGACCCGTTAGTTGTTCCTTCGCCCTCAGAACGTCTGTTTAACATGCGGATACAACATCAGCTCACCCAGGCACATGGGTACTTTCTTGGGCGGCTGTTTCGTTCCATCCCAAGGCAGCAACGCCTTCCCATCATAGGTGTCCTTTTAGGGCAAATAGATCTGGTAGATGATTAAACCACCAGGTAAACCAGGCATCACCATCTATTTTCCACCAAAACAACCAAAAAGGACGCCTATGCTTCCCATCCAATTGGAAAGCTCGGCGCCTCGGTGTCGTCCTTCTCGGGCGCCACAGAGCTTGGGGACGCACTGGGCGACGGGCTCGGGCTCCCTGACACGCCTCAAAACGCCCGATTTTTGGACTCCAAAAAGTGAGAGGAGGCTCTGCGACAGAGACAAGCTAGTACCCTAGCCCTAGTTGCTTTCAAGGGACTCTGAAGCACGAAGCCTCAATGCGCCTCTCATGTGGCTCTCTGAGGGAAGAGCTCAAAAGCAAACTGGATTTGCTAGAAGGCATGCTTGAGCCGTGCCTGACACAATCCCGGATCCACGTTCGTTCTGCCTTTTGCGCCCGAGTCCCTGTCCTCTGTCAGAGATCCATCCTTGGGACACCCAAGAGTCCAAGCGGGACAGAAAATTGGTTCCACTCAGCCGTGATTTGGGCTGGTGGCCTGGTAGTTTTCAGATGTCTCACTTCGAACAAGAATCCGGGGTCAAAACCCGTCCAAGCCGCTCGAGAGCGACCTGAACTCGGAAATCACACGCGACTCTGTACCGGAAGTCCCCAAGTAGGCCCTTCGCCGCGTGTGTCTCTGTACAAGTCCAGTCGGCTCATTGCATCCTTAGCGTTCAGAATGCAGGGCATGAACCAGAAATGTGTGGCCAAAACTGGTAAAACACAGAGGACAAACAAATTATATCTTTGCCATTCCCAACTCCGAAAGCAAAATGGCTGTGGCTTGAAACAAGGACCTGGACACACCAAAAAAACTTCGCTAACAATGGACCGTGGCTCAAACCACGATCTCCGAAGGATTGCCCGCAATGCAAGATAAGTCCATACAGTAGCGCGGCCCCTTGCTGTCGGGCAAATAGCTCCCCAGGTGCGTGCCGCAGGAGGAATACACGAAGCCGTCCTTGTCAGGGTTTGGCCGACAACGTCGTCTGTTCCAAGATTGCAATAAAGCACTAAACTGTCGCAAATTCAACTCCAAAAGTAATTTCCAGTTCAAATACTTCGTCAAGCCCTGGAATTCCGTGATTTGGCCAACAAACAATTTTGCCACCAACGAAGCCATCCTTGTCCACCCGCACATGCTCTCGAACCACCTCCTCTAGGCGGAAGGATGGCCAGCCATGCTCATCAGTATCCGCCTTAAAGTCCGCCATGCTCCTGCCAGGCGGGCATCTGAGGGTTGACAGGGGCTTCACTGGGACTGAGTGGAGGTAGAAGTGATGCAGAGTGAGCCATCCTTGCTTCTGAAACAACAAAAAATGCACTTATCTCTAACCCCATAATGAGAACCCCGGATCTAAGTACAACCCCTGGGTGATTCGTTGGGGGGTGTCCAATTCCTTCTCGTGGGGATTCAGATTCATTTGTGGAGGGAACCCCGCCCCCCCAATTCACAACCCCAATGCATGCGTTCCGCCCACTCGACGTGTTGAGCTTGGGGTTTAAGATTGGGGCTTAGGTTTAGGGCTTGGGTAAGTTGTTAGGTTTAGGTCTTTAGGTTTTGCTTTCCGTAGCCGAGTTTGCAAGTTGGCCAACTGGGGCTCAAGTCGGAGCTTAGCCCTCAAAGCTTCAAAACAGTGGCCCTGGCGCAATCTGCAATTGCGGCCAACCCGACCCAAGGGGCATTGGGGCAGATCGCATGGATTGGCCGCAGAAAACAGGACAGGTTTCTTCATCCAGGGTCAACATGAGGGTTTGTCTTAATCTGGTGGAACCCCCAAAATGGTGGTGTTCCTTTTGGTTCTCACACACAAAAGGCCAACCACTTTTTCCGAGGAGACGAGGCCATCCGGTTTCCATCCGGTTTCCATCGCACCTCTGCGGCCCGAAGCGGGAAAGAAGCGGGAAGCGGTGGGAAGCGTCGGCCGTCCTGTTCACCGGCGCCCGGAAGAGCGGCACGCCGCAGGCGGAGTCGTAGAAGGTGGCGCCCTCTCCAAGCTTCTCGAAGAGGGCGATGTCCGGCGCCTGCCAAAAGGAAGGACAACTTGCTGGTCAGCTTTTGGTCTTGGGTGGGGGTAAGCTGTTCATTGGCAAATTGGAAGGGAAGAGGGTAACCTTTGGCAATGCTTCCCGCTAATGAGGTGTGCCTTTCATGAGCTAGGTTGAAGGCATAGGGCGACCTAGGTTTTCACCTCGGACCCTCTGTTTGTTTCACCTTGGCCTTGGTTTTCACCCTTGCAACCCTGGAAAACGATCAATCAAGGCCAGGAAACCAACGGGCAAATCAAAGGCAAACGAAAACCAACCGCTTGGGTTGTCGGCTCACTTCGGCTTTGGTGTGCATCTGACTGGAGGGTGTTCTCGGTGTCTTTGAACAATCTACTAGTGGGGTCAGGCCACAACGGTTTGCTCAATTCTACATACAGACCCGCCAGCATCGTTTGGTTTTGACGAGATTCCCCCGCCCCGGCCCCTAGACCAATTGTGAAGCTTAGGGCTTAAGGGACACAGCCCTCGATCCTTCCCTATCCCCCGACCAGCCCTGCCTGGTAGAGGAACTGAGGCTCCGCGTAGACCTGAGCAAGCGGCCAGCTTGCTTATCCGCATCAAAGAGGACCTTTGAGGGAGCACCCATCTTTACAAAACGCAAAGGGGTATGCTAGCAGGAGGGCAGCATGTGCATCAAGCGCTGCGTTGGCACTGTTGAGCACTTTGTTGATGCGTTGATCTCTATCGGCACTGTTCTTTTCAAGCACAGTACCCAAAGTTGGGCAGTCCAAAACCTTCAAAAGCTTAGCACATGTTAGCTAAGGCATACCACTCTCTACAAGAGGGGCTGGGAATCGAGGACCGGAGCCAGTGAGACCGCCATTGCCAGAGCCCCCACTATGCAGGGGACCCCCCGTTCGCAGTGAGAACCCCATGCGTGCTTGAATTGGGTGCTGTGAGTTTTGCGAACAGTCGGCTTTGCTGGCAAAACCTTGCTTCGCTTCCAATATTTTTCTATGAGACATTCCACATCCAAGCCAATGCAAGGCCCAGCACATGTGTGAGCCCCAAATAAATTCAGGCCAAGCGGATGCAAAAAGGAACTGTTACGCCCAGATTGCCCCAAGCACCTCTTCGTGATTGCCCCCCCCCCCACCCAATACCAGAACAAGGTGAGGCTTGTCAAACTCCATGACTGTTGCCACCTTTCAAATTTATCCTTAGCTTATTTAGAAAGGGAAAGGGACTGCAGCTTCTGACTTGAACACCACGCCCGGGTTTTCCCACCGCACCGCATCACATCACCGCATGAATTTCACTGAAAATCAGTTTGCGCGCTCGTCTCTCTATGTTGCCGAGGAAACAACCAGGCCGTGTTCAAAGTTCAAATGTTGGAGGGAGAGCACTTGATCCTAGGAGCTACTCCAGCATGCAAGGCGATGAACCTTTCTGGGTCCGAAGAGCCGCTTTCCAGCTCCTATTTTTCTAGCCTATCCTTTTGCAACTGGCGTTTTCATTTGCCTGTGGGATGTGGCACGAACGAACTGGAGCCACAAGAAAAGCAGCGTGTAACAAATCCTTGAGGGTGAGCAGCTCCCACTTTCCCAGCCAAGGCAGCAGGCGCCAACATGCGACCATGTGCCAAAACCAGGGACTGCAAATGCTCCTTTATTTGACTCACAAGTGGGAAGCATCAGCTAGCGCTGGTCCTTTGCCTAAGAAACCAGCTTCAGGATTTTCAGGAAAAGTTGGCCAAGGCTCTTGGCTTTGCTGGGTGTTCGCTTGAATTTCCTGCAGTCTTTTCTTACCCAAACAGGGATCCTTCCATTATACACCTGAACATTTCCTTGTAAATGGTGGTGTCCGTTTATTTTGGTGGAAAAAACCATGCTTCAAATGAGCAAAATGTATCTTTTAAGGAGCCCTGCCAAAGGGTTGCCGTGCAAGGCCAATCGCTCACCCAACGGGTCCCGCCTTGGTCCGCTTGTCGCAGCACACCGCCTCCGCAAGCGACTCGGAGGGGTCCACAGGCACAGGCACCGTCGGCTCCTGCCCGAATGCCATGGATTTTTCAGGGGAAAAGCTGCATGCATCGTGTATGTGTACATAGTTATATATATATATATGTGCTGTCCTTATTTATTTTACATGTATACATATTTGCCTGTGTTGCGCATCCACTGGCTTGCACAGGTAGCTCTCCAACATCATAAGCTGATAAGCAACAATGGTAGATACCAACTGGGGCAGTTGTCAAATCCCCATGTTCAGTCTCAAGCGATGGAATTGGTTTGCCTCACGTTGGGCAAACGCAAAACCAGAGCGGTTCTCGGCAATGCATGTTTTCTATGTGTATCCATCTATGCTATACACATAAATTACACAAGGATGCATCTGTGTTCAAGTCAGTCCTTGCAAATCACCGTTGGGATGCAAAAGGAGACCCATGCGGGAAGGGCCCCCAGTGTAGAATTTAGAAGCACAGTCAGTTGTGCCAAAGGTCGGGAGGCACGATGCTTCCTTGACAATACTGTGATCACTTCTGCCATGTTGTGGATTGTCTGGCCGTTTCGGCTGAGCAGTGTAACCACGAGTCAGAAGCCCAGTTTGCACTGGCAAGTAGTTTCTGTTCCATCTAGGTAAAGATGAACGAGCAGTTTTCGGTCCGACTTGTTGCTGGTCCTCTATACCAAACTAAAAGTGGGGAGATCTCTCTGGCGAGGTTGTTGCAAAGGAAGAAAGCGGCAAGGAAACCGCTGTCATTTGGCAAGGCGCACTTAACTTCCGGCCCGTTCAAGCCGCGGCTGAAGCAGACGCCGACTTGATGCGCCAAATGTTCGCGGAAGCCGCGCCTTCCGGCTGGAGATGTTGTACCGCAGAGAGCTCTGCACTCCAGAGCTGCAGCTGTTGTACTGCGCCGGCACCTTCCCGAGCGCACTGCTCGCACCGCTTGCCCCGCGCGCCGAGATGGATTTCACCTGGCCGTGGCATGGCAAAAGAAGAAATGAATCCTATATTGTCAAGCGGCCCGAAACAGGCACAGGGTCTCTCATGAGAGACCCTTTAAGGCTTAATGGGCCCCATTGGGCGCTATTAGCCCCTACCTTGACACACATGGGAATGAAGGCCCAGCAGTAGGCTATAGAACTTTTGACAAACCTCCCTTGAAGCGTCGACACCCAAAAGAGCTGCAGTAACCTGTTCCTTGGTTGCGGGGCCGAGCCCAGACCCAGATCTAGGAAAGGGTGACCGGTTGTGACCAAACTTAGACCGCAAAACGTGTGCTGAGTCTGGCAATGCCAGGAGCTCATCCGGACTACCAACACCCCCCTCCTCACACCAAAGTAGATGCCACAATTTCGTTGCAAGTAGTAGGAACCCCGGATTCATGAACCCTGGCTGATTTATAGGGGCTTTCCGCTTTGTGAAAATTCATCACTTTTGGAGAGGAACATTCCCCCTATTACGCAATAGGACTGGTTTAATCATACGGGTCATCTTTGAGTACCCTCCCACCAACTAACGTGGACAAGGGACCAGGTCCCGAACGTCAGGTTCCAGGTAAAAATGGGGATGGAAGGTAAATGGGATGGGCAATCTCCCGTTGACGCGATGGAGCCAATTCCTTGCCGTCTTTCAGCCACCTCCAGGTGCACCTTGCCCAGCGCTCCCTCGGCCCAGACTTCCAGGCGCTTGATGGCCGCGAGCCGCGCTGCGCTTGGGCACACCGAGGGGTCCTCACGGAGAAAACGGACGGCCAAAACCAGCCGCTACAAGTGGGGGCCTGAATCCTGGGGCTTGGGGGCGCCATGAAACCGAAGACCTGAGGGCGACAGGGCCTTTCGCGCGATTCTCTTAGCCGGTGTTTGGCTCACAGTCGCAAGCCTCATGGCAGGTGGGTGTTTGCAGGTCCCTGCAGCTGACCCAAAACAACTTCCTCGCTGCACGTCGCGGTCTGCTCCCCGGTGGCCGGGCTCCACTTGTCACTGAAGTGGCTGAAGGGGATGCGCACCTGGCAAAAGCGTGCCGGAGCAGGAGCATTCCGAGGCCTGAAAACACTGATGCCCTAAGCCACCAAAACCCAGCCCAAACTGCCCTTAAGCCAAAACATCACGAAGACCCGAACCTAAATCAATTCGACCACCATAAAGCTTCACCTCTAGCCAGCCCCAAACCCAGCCTGAGGCAGCACCAAATCAATCCTAGATACCCCTCAGTTCCTCACATGAATAATACATCGTGCGGGTCTGGCCCAAAAACTGGCATGGCATGATACGCTATGTGGGCATGATAAATCATTGCACATGTCTTATGTCTTGGCATGTGACTATGTCTCCGTGTATCCGTTCCTGATCATGCCGCGCCACAAGTGCTTTTGCCAAGGTACTGCTGTTGTATCAATATGTCTGCACGAGTTGAAGGATGTACTTAACGCATTGCGGTGATTCATCGTTCATGTGCATGTCCGTGTTGGATTGATACCAATGCCAATATCGGCCACATGCTTCAGCCGCTTCACACGTCACCATCCGCCCGCCTCCGCAAAGTCACCCGCCGGCACTTGGAACTTCGCCTGGACGCGACAGCGCAGTATGCCATTCCATGCCACACTCCGTCCCTCTCCAACTTGGTCTCTCCAAACGCTTTCGCCAGCTTCCTAAGATGCTCAGTAGGGAATGAGCCAGGGTGTGGGAATGAATCTTGGGGGTCCCCTTAAAGGAAACCACAAGGGATGGCTCACAGCATTCATTCCCTCATTCCCTGCCTATCGCACCAGCTTCCTAAGACCGCGGGATGCCCGGGCTCGCGCGCCTTGAAGCAGCCTCGGCTCATGGGGATGCTGCCGCCCCCGGCACAGGCGTAGCTCGGCGCCAGCGTGCCGGAGGCGAAGGACACGCGGAAGCCCTGCGAGCCGGCGAGAGCCCGGATGTCTCAGCCGTCCGAGTACCGTGTGAGCGGAAAACGGATTCCTGCAACCTGGGACCGGAACATGGTAAGTGTGTTGAACGGAAAACTTCTGATTCAATTTGTTCTGTCCCTTCCAGCCTTACTTCTTGGTAACCAACGAACTGCGCTGGCACATGATGGCAGGCACAATCGCAGCTGCAATCTCCACATGTCCCTCGCCTCTTTTGCCCCACGCGTCGAAAATCCACTCGGCCATTTCTAGCCGGCATCAACATTCAGTGCCATTAGCGGTACCGAATTGAACCAACGCATCTCGATGCAGAGTGAAACCATAAAAGAACACGGGAAAACCTGTACAATTCGCAGGTGCCTGACGCAGAGCGCAAGTTCACCTGCCGCGAATTGCAGAGCAGACAAGGGGACTGTCGTCGTGGCATCTTGAAGTGAACCCTTGGTCGGATAGGGTTGGGTTTCGTGAACATATGCAAAGAAATGCTCAAATTACCCTGCATTGTCCTTTGAACACCAACCCCACAAGAGAAAGGTTCACTTTGCGTTGGCTCATTCAGCCCAAGGAGGCAAGTAAAGGAACTCCGGTTCATACAAACAAGGCACTGTAGACTCGACACCTGCGCGTCACCAGCGTCGTAATCCAAACCTGATACCAACGGGCAGTAGCCAGAACCATGCAACGAATCAAAAGGCAGGATGTCCGCACCCATGATTGGCACCTGTCTATCCTCGGCGTGGATTGTGGCTCACCATCCTCATCCTCATACCACCATGTTATTGTCAATAATCATGTGTTGCTTCTGCTTTCTGCTTTCCTTTGATGTCGGTTTTGAATCCAAATACATGGGTGCGTGATGAAATAGGCGACCCGCAAAATGGCCTTCCTTTTTGAAACCACTTTAAAACAGGCCACCCTCAAAACAACACAAACCCAAGCGGGTGTGTCTCTTTGAAGGGAGCCTCCTGCGGCCTGGTTCTTAAAGCGGTAAACTGCAAAGAAAACGAACAGGCAAGACACACGCAACAACAAAAAAATGCCAGACTCCCAGCAAAAAACAGCACACACACACACACATGTGGAACCCCAACCCCAACCCCCCCCCCCCCCAAATGACTCCCAACCCCCTCCCAACCCCCCCCCCCCCCCCCCCCCCTCTGAGACTTCCAGACTCCGATCTCCGACATCTCCGACGTCTCCGACACCGACGTCCCGCGCCTGGCGAAGTCTTCGATCCGCGCCAGCACGGGGTCCGGCAGCTCCGGGCGCCCAGACCTGAGGCCCTGTACCGCCCGCGCCACCCACAGCGCCTGGCCGTCCTCCTGCGAGCGGCGAGAAAACCACGACGAGAGGCGGGAGGAACATGGGAAACTCAGGAAAATGGCTTGGAGAAAAAAAAAAGAAAAAGAAAAAAGAAACTGGGCAGTTGCTGGAAGAGGAGTTCACATGAAGAACTTGAGGGGTATGGCAACTTCAAGAAGACAGGAGAAACAGCATGGTCATGGTGGGCGTGAGGAGTAAAGGGAGAGCATGGAAACAACATAAACATGGTCAGCGTGGTATGTTGAATGATACAAGTATGGGAAATGGATGAAAAGGATTAACATGCTTCACAACATGGGAATCCCACGGGAACAACACCATGGAAAAACAAAAGATGGTGAGCGTCGCGTGTTTGACGACATCGAAAAAAGGAACCTCGTGGTCTTGAACGAGGGCCCATATGCCTTCCCCTGACAAATCGACCAAGCCCTCGGAAGCGGCCAAAGTTAGGCCCTCACTGGCAATGATCAAGCTCTCCACAAACGGAGGCGGTCCAAGGAAGCCTTTGGACCACAAAATCCTGAAAATGAGTTGCCAATCCCTCACAGAAGGTAAGACTCATGTTTTTTTTCCCTTCAGATCATCACGTTTCCTCAACCTTGCGTGCCAACTCTTGACTAATACTTTCACCAGGGAGAGTTGGCCAGCCATCTTTTCCGACTCCTTATCTTTGCGAGGGTAGTTCTTGCCAACGTTCCCAGCGGCTCCTAGGACATGGAAACACATGCTTACCCTTTGTGACCCGAAAAAAGATTAACCGAAAAGCCAAGCACGTTGTCCTCCAGGCGCTTCAGGAGCCTCGACTGCAAGGAGTGGCTGCCCAGCACGGCGCCCCTCGCAAGGAGTGCCTGCCACAAGCTTCTTCCCCCCCAAACCCCCAAAAGACTCCCAAAAAAACCTCCCTCAAAATTCCCCCCCAAAAAAAAAAAACAAAAGAAGAACAGCGATCCCCCAAAAAGCCCCAAAGGTCTCACACCCCCAACCAATGCCCCAACAAACCCCTCACGCCTTGAGCGCGGGCTTGCAGCGCTGCACCCAGCCCCCGCCCGAGGTGCTCTGGCCCAGGTTGGCGCAGCGGTGATCCACCAGCAGCTCAAGACCCACGACCTCAAGGCGACAGCCCTCAGAACCAACCCCGAGACAGGTACCCTCACAAAACATATATGTATATATATATATATATACACATTTGAGCGCTCATATATATATATATATATACACACACCATTGTGGGGTTGTCTTTTTTGCGGGTACCCCTTGCTTGTGGTTTTAGAGGGAGGTACAAAAGTAAACCACCAGTTCATCAGATATGGGCGCACTTTTTAGATGGTGAAGTTCGAGGTGTTAAAAGGGGACAGAAGGAACACCTTTGAGGGTCCCCTTTGAGACAAACCCATGGCTCATGGATGCAGGAATGAACCAAATGCGAAGGCCCGCAAGCGTGAAGAACAGGATCGAAACCCCAGTCAGGCTCAAAAGCCTGATGAAAAGGCTGTTGAATTTTACAAAATACCCTTTTCTCCCAGTGGTGTGTTTGCTGATTTGACAATTTAGTTTGCTCAAAATTGATCCACCCAAAAACCTCGTGGATCCTCGGCGATCTCCCATAATTTCCACAAGCACCTTCAGTCAGCTAAGCTGTGATGGTTGGGTGACTGGTTCTTCAAAGAGAGGCTCAACCCTCAAGCTCCCGAACAAAACGATCATCTCACGGAACGTCGGAAGAGCTGAAAGCAGGATAGTACCAGGATGGTAGCTGTCGAACGTGTTTTGTAGCTTCATGCTTGCAACATGCTCGGTACAAGCATCCTGGAGCCCAAGCCCTGCTGCTTTCCTTTTGCAAAGTCCCAAAGAAGACAAAGCAACTGCGTCTGGAAAAGGACACATAACGAAAAAAACAAACCAACAAAGGGTGCGTTCCACCTGCTTCCCTCGGCCGAAAACCGCCGAAACCTGCTGGAAACCCGCCTGCACGTCTGCCTCAATGAGCAGCACCTTCAGCACCGTCAGGCCACCGTGCAACAGCGCTGCCTTGCGCACCTGGCCAGCCGTCGCCCAACGGGAAAAGGCTCACAGGGGGCAGTCCGGCTACTCCGCGGAAAGCCGGCAATCCGCAAACCTGTCAGGTGGATGAACATAGGGCTAATAATTCGCTCTAAAAACATGGAACCCCTCCAAGAAGCTCCTGAGCAACCTTTCACTGGTTGGGAAGTGCCTTTGCTATCCGCGAAAAGGACTAGGGGAAGACATGTGGCTGCGTACCCCCCCCAAAACCGGAGCCAAAAAAATCACGCGCAAAGGCCGCGAAAAGGGGGGCAAAAAAACGGCGTCTGCTTCTCAGCCAGGGCACGTGGCCTTGCTCCAAATGGAGCCCCCGCCGCTGGAGCCAGCGCAAAGTCTCTGCCACGAAGGCGCAGGGCCACTTCGTTTGCCGCAGCGCCAGCTCCAGCAGAACCTCGATATGGGGGGCATCTAGGATATGGACCCAAAAGAAAGGACTTGTCCGTTTCCCTTTGGCTTTCCTTTAAAGCAAAAAAAGAAGAAAAACAAAGTACCAACTCAAAAAATGTCGGTTCATTGGGAACATTTCCAGCCGCACATTGAGGCCACAACTTGTTTCTTCTGTTCTGGTTTTGCCTATATTGTCGGGCTAGCGCGTCACTTGCTAAATCGTCACTTGCGACGACGGCTGAAGCGACAACGGGATCTCTTTGCTGCTTCTTCAAACTGTCTAAAAGACGCTGCGATTTATGATTTAACTGTTTCGGGCGGGAGGGGCGGGGGAGAATGAAAACCCCCTGGCTTGGCGATTGCAAGTCAGCCTGTCTCATCAGCACACAGACGCGCACACTCACACAGAGACAGACGGACAAACGGACGGACGGACGGACGGACGTTCGGACAGACCTGCGGACAAACAGACAGACAGCCAGACAGACAGACAGACAGACAGACAGACAGACAGACAGACAGACAGGCAGGCAGGCAGGCAGGCAGGCAGGCAGACAGACAGACAGACAGATAGCCACACACAGACACCTACACAGGCCCGACCTTTATGCGGAGTTTCGGCTGTTTATCGCCTAGATCTCCTGGACCCGACCCACGAAACTGTCAAAACTAGGGACGCCGCCAAATATTTGGTGTCCTTTTACTCTTTTCAAACTGTCTGCAACAGTGTCGCTACAGCAGACTTGACAGCCACATGTGTGCATCCCGCCTCCCGCAGCGCAGCATCTTTGGCCGCCTCTGCTGCCAGAGTCGCAGACTGGTCCTCTGCTGCAGATTTGGCGTCCGCAGCAACAAGGAAGACGTCACGCAGCTGCTTGCTCTGGCACGAATATCACGAGTCAGGACGAAACGAGGGGAACGTGTCAATACAGATAAGGCGGGTTCACCTCTAGACTGTTGGCTTTCAGCTGGGAGGTTATCCACATTTGCCCGTTTTTGCATCCCCTTTAAAAGGTGATACATGGGCCGCCCTTCAACACAAGGTCCCTGCCCACCGCTCCACACTCAAAGACCACCATGGCTAGGTTGGTTCACCTTTTTCTTCAGACCGGCAACCAAGAATCACTGCAGTGCCCCTTGCTGAAAGCACCAAACTGCTGTATTCAAAGCGCTCAAGGCGCCTTCCATCAGTCGCAAGGCTTGACCCCCCAAACTCTCAGTTATGGCTAACAACATGAGACCCAACCCCAGCCCTGCACCAAAAGCCCAAAGGACGTCGAAATCAGACCCAAACGCTCGATGCTCTTGAATAGCCATTCTTGCTGACCCAATCTTCCGAGACCTTAGGCACCAAAATCACCAGCCCCTAAAGAAAGACATGCCCCAAACTTTCAATGTCTTTCAAAAGATATGAGACATCTCTGGGAAAAAGACGGCACCTTGAAAGCCCACCCTTCCACCTGCAGATCCGCCAGCTGCACCCGCCACTCGTTCTCCGCGCGCTGTCGGTCCACCGCCTGGGGGCCCTCGATCTCCGCCTGCCGCAGCTCCGCCCGCGCGGCGCGGAAGCAGCTCTCCAGGGCGATGCAGACCTCCTTGGGGTACTGCACCTCTGCGGCGGGGATTTTATCTCGTCGATTTGGACCCGGACGGCTTATGGACCAAACAAAGGTGACCTCAAGAAGACAGACCCGGCAATTGTTTGGGAGTTTGGCTTTTTTGGGATTGGCGTGGGGGCTTACATTGGATTGGCTCGAATTGATTTGGATTGGTTAGGATTGGTGAATTGGGGGGTTGGATTGGTGGTTTGGGGGTTGAACCCCGCTAGTTGGTGGTTTGGATCAGTGAAGGGAGTCTCTTCGCATCAGATCAAAACAATGACCAGGGGATCAAATGCAGCCTGAGCGCCCCAAAAAACGCGGCGCCACCAGGCCACCCGTCGTGAAAAGCATTTGAGGCCTTGAAGGGGTTCAACCAATCTCAATACACTGAAACCTCCCCGAACCTGATTTGGATTGCGAGTGAGGCGTTGAGGACTGACCTGGAATTCCTCAAAAAGCCATTAGCCATTCTGGCTCTTTCCAACATGGGGACCCGACAAGACTGAGTTATTCCCGTGTCAAAACTAGGGGTTCGGACCCCCAAAATGGGTGGTATCCTTAAAGCTTTGGCTTTAACGTCCAAGGGGACCCTCAAACACAAAGCCATGGCCTGTTGAGCTGCCAGTCGTCCCCTTCCCAGTCTTGTGAAATCGCTTCAAAAACAAGAAAGGCGGAGATGCCTTCGGGCCTCGCACAAAGGACTGCGCGAACGGGCGTGGCACATCGCCGCCTTTTGGATGCCACCCTCAAGAAACAAAAACACGGTATTAAGGTCATTTGATCAAAGGGAACCAAAGGAAACCAAAGGAAAATCGCCCATTTCAAGGGGTTCCATCATGCAGCACACGGCGCCAGGGTCATCTTGGAGTGCGTGTAGTTGCGGCCCTCGGCGCGCTCCAGCTCGTACTGCCACATGCACCAATTCTTCCCATGACCCTGGTGGCGGTACACGTTCCGCCTGCGCGAGCCGACTCCAAGTCCAACCCATGAAGAAAAAACACGGTGTGCGTGTGTGTCTTTTTTGTTGGAGGGTACCGTTTCTGGGATTGGTTTTGAAGGGAACCAAAAGGCTTCTGCAGCCCATCAGCAGTCCATTTTTGGGGGCTCCACATCCTTTGAGACAAGCCCAAACCCCGGCTGGAAAGCCACGGGATGCTATCCCCAAAGCCGGACTCTGGATTTTGGTCGGAAGCGGCTCCAATCACGGACCACTTCACCATATCCCAAGGGTCCAACCTCTTGAGCCCAGGAAAATGACTGCCCACTGCACGAAAATCAAACCAAATGACAAAGAGGATCCCCCTCTGGCCCAACATGCGTTGTGCCTTCCTCTTTCTCACTCTTTCTCCCTCTCTCTCTCACATTCTCTCGCACACTCTCTCTCTCTCTCTCTCTCTCGCTTTACATGGAACATCCTTAAGTGTATGCAAGCTAACCAAACGGCACCACACAAGCACGCGATAACTCTTTTATCCGAGCAATGTGTTGGTGCCAGGGACTCATCTTCCCCTGTCAGATGTCAACGGCTGGGTGGGCCCCATGGGCCACCCACCTCAAACTCTCAAAAACTGAAGAACGGGTGTGCAGACTGATAGCGCCCGCCCCTGAGCCGGGGCCCGGGGCACCCAGGCCACAGGGGGGTCTGCCACCAGGGGAAGTGAGTCACCCACCGGCTCCGGTCACGGGAGCATGGGTGGGCCCACGCTAAGATCAAATGCATCTCCATTCAGGAGACGCGGGAGAAAAACGAACTCCTCGCAGAGTTCCTGTTTGGGGACCCTGTGCAAAGGGTCGAACCCAGAGAAATCTGGGTGCGTCAGCTCATCAGCCCACTGGTTGAATTCCCGGGGCACGTGGTTGGCCGCCAGCGAGCAGCCATGGGTGTGGAGCAGGAAGACCAGCTCCATCAGGATCGCCGCGGTGTAGGGCTTCTTGGATCCAAGGTTGAGCATCGCCATGACGTTGCCCTGATTGTCACTGCCCACCGGGAGTCGGACCCGGGAGGACAGAGGGCCTTGGTGCGTGAGGATCATGTTACAGAGGAAGAGCGTGCCCAGCATTTCCAAAGCCGCAATCCTCCGCTTGGGATCCCCATTCTTGAATGCCCAAGGGTACTCCTCCACGTGGATCTGCTCGTGGAACCAGTACACCTCCTTCTTTTCCGGCTCCATTTTGTTGGAGCACCATCCTCCCACAAATGCCAGTCCTTCGTCCGAGGCGCTAGCATCGCTGCAACCCCACCAAGAGGACTTCGGCAAGTAAGGGGAGTACTGGACGAAGGGCGTGTTGAAGAGGAACCGCAGCATGAACGCCAGCATCCTGACCACCTTGGGGGGTTTCCCCACCGTGGTGGTGGCCATCTTCCAGGCCCAAAGTGGCTGAAGCATCGACTTCGCCAGCGGACATGCAGCAGTTGCCCATTGGATGCGGCCCAGGGCCTTCTCGATGTCCTTTGAGTGCATCGCCTGCCCTTCCACCATGGTCTGCAAGACCTCCATTACCAGGATGTGTTTGTTGGCGGCCATGAGAACCTGCGTGCGGGATGTTCGGGTGGACCACGAAGCCCAGCCACGTGTTGAGCAGCCACAGGAAGTCATCCACAAAGACGAAGTTCCAATCCACTTGAGGGAAAAGTGCGTAGAGGACCCGGAGTAGAAGGGCTGCCAGGCGTCCCCAGTAGGATTGGGCACTGGCCATGCCGTATGTTTCTTCCCCCAGTGAAGCCACCTGGAACCGCCAGTTTTTGCTGAGGACCTTCACTCTCCGGTGGGCCTTGGTGGCGTCCGCCTTGAGCAGCACCCACCCCTTCTAGCTGCCGCATGTAGCCAATGAAGAGCTTGTACCCCATCCAGCACCGTCGGAGCCGTTGTCCTTTCCACCGTCTGGTTCCTGATGGTGTCATTGGCCCCGCCCACCGAGCCATCGTAGATGGTGCGGATCTTGTCCCCTTCGTCGATGCCCGCTAGGGGGCTGGGACAAAGGTCCTCAATCTCGCAGCCACAGCACGATGCTGCCTCCACCTTGGTGAAGGGGCCCTCTACCATGCCCATGGGGACCTCCTCCAGGAATGTGCCTCACTGAAGTGATCCGCCGAAGGGTAGAGGGTCCGGCTCCTCCCCTTTTAGCTCCTTCTTGAGTGGCCAGATGCCCGGCGAGGCCAGGGGTGGGTCCGTGACCCCCAGTGGGACCCCTTGTTCCAGATCCCGAGGAAACTGGTGGTCGGGGTCCTGAATGTTCAGCGCCACGCTGTGCAAGATGTCCAGGAAGAAGGGTTGGCCTTCCGCTGGTCGGCCTGCCCCTGGCGCCAGGATCTCCCTGATATCCTCCAGCAGGTCCTCCGGGAAGGGGTGTGACCCGTCCCCCAAAGAGAGCGACTCCTGGAATGGCGAAGTGAGGACACAGATCTTGGCCCCCATCGCTGCTGCCGAGTCCACGGGGCCAGCCGTCCCAGTGAGGGCTTCCCACCCCCGTCCCTTAGGGGGCGCTGTTTGAAGGCCATCTGGAGGTACATAACCTTGTCGGAGAGATTTGGGTCGTGCGTGATCGGCAGGGTGGTGGGCGGATCCGAGATCTCCATGCAATGGCGTGCCCATGGCTCAGGGGATCGACCATCCCGCCAGCCGGCTGCGTTGGTGTCCGGACCTCCGGATTGTCTGAGGCCGAGACCGGAAGTGAGCCCAAGGTTAGTCCCGCCAACGCTTGTTGGCCGGCCATCAGCCTCCGGGACTGGCGCTTGTTGTCCCCCGGCGTGCTGGGAGAAGGTTCCCTCTGTCGCCTCGGGGGGGTCGTTGGGTTCGCCTGGGGCACCATGCCCCCCGGCCTCAGCGCCTCCAGGACGGGCCACGGGCCCCGCTCTGCAAAGGATGGCCGCTGCGAGACCCTGCATCATCTGCTCTGGATACCGGCTGAGGTCACTGGAGTTGAGCTTTTCCCCCCTCCCTGGGGTGAGCTCCGTGGTTGCATCGCAGATCATGCCAATGGTGAAGGGGAAGGTCCGTTGACAATGTCGTGGACTTCACTACCACCTGGCCCAGGCGGCACTTGTCAAACTTGATGAGGGAGTGGTGGAGCGCGTTCGCCCATTGAATGTAGGCCCGTGTGACCCAGATCGATGAGCACCTCGCTGCGCTCGGGCTCTTGCTGCACTCCATTGGGTCCATTGGGTGCTCCAAGAAGGAGGAGCCCACCTGCGGGACCGTTAGTTGACCTACCTGGTAGGCCAGCGAGGTCAGGTACATCTGTCGGAGCATGAGCACGCTGTCGTTGTCCGTGTCCTCCATTACCCGGGGCTCCAGGTCCTCTAAGCCCCACAGGGTCTGCTCCGCTCTGCCCCTCACCGGCGGCGTTTGGGGAACCATCTGAGAAATGCTCCACGTCCTGCAGTTGGGGCCGCCCCCCACAAAGGCGACCTTGCCCGCCATGGCCATGGAGCACATCGTAGAGTAAGGCTCATCTCCCAGCATGTCCTGTCCAAGATCTCCACTCTTTCGCCTGATGTCCACTGCCCAAATGTACTCCGAGAAGGCCGGGTTGTTGGCATGGAGGTAAGCATCCAGGGCCCCCGCATCATCCTTCCCAGCGTACAGCAGGATGAGGGACGGCTTTGACGACTCCGGCACCGGACGTGGCGTCCACCTTAGTCTGAGCCTCAGTCTTTCCGGGGTGTCCTGCATCCATGGGAAGGTGGGGCTTGCCCCCCCTAGGGATTCCGTGCGTCCTTTGTCTGACCCTCCGGTCATCTGTCCCTGGGCTTGCTGCTTGCCCTAGGACGGCCGCAGGTGGGAGGGGATTTCTCCAGGGTGCCACCGGCCCCGGAAGCCCCTCCACCGAAGAAGAGGAGCGGACCCAGCCAGGGCACTCCAGAAGGGTGCACCCACCGAGGCAGTGGGAAGAACCCCCAGAGAGACCCAGAGGTGAGGATCCGCCCGGCAAGGGGCGTTTCAAGGGCGGGCAGAACCGCCGGCCTCCCCCGCTCTGTCTGCCTTCCGCTGTGGCTCTGGTGGGGTTGGCTCTCCCCCACTGTGTGCACTCTCGCACTGGTGGCCTGTGATCCCAACGGAGACCAGGAAGCCACGGGGCCCTGAGTGGCCTCCTGTCACTTGGGAAGGTGTGGGCATGCCTGTGGCACATGCTTCGATGGGGGGGCATCACACACCCACCCATCCTTCCTGACCGGGCAGTTGTGGGATCGGCTGCATGATCCCGAACACTTGTTGTGAAGGTGATGATCTCTGCAGTACGCCACCCCTTTGGGATTCTTGAAAGCCCAGTGGTCCGGCCATGGGGTCGATGGGGTGTTGGGGGACTTCCCCTTGCCGCCCTGGACCGGGTCGGCCCCGAGGGCCAGGACCCTTTTCCCCCCTTCTTGGGCTTCTCCCACTGAGTCTGCCACTTCTCCGGCGCCCTGTTGAGGTGCTCACAGAAGAGGAAGTCGCCCCTGATGTTCTTGAGGGCTTCGGAGAGAGTGGTGCCCTGGTGCACCATCTCGTGAATCTTGCGCCATGCATTGCGCTCTGCGAACAGCAAGGTGGTGTCGCTCGGGGGAGGCTTCCTGCCGGCTATGTCTTCCCCATAGAACCAGGCATACCAATCATCCAACTCCTCCTTGGTGACCCTCAGGTTGCCAAACTGTGGCAGTGCTGCCGTGCACATCAGGAGCGTCGTCCTGAAGGTTAGGTGCAATCGTTCCAGCTGGCGCCGAGATGTAGGGTGGCTCCTCACCTCTTCTTCATCCTCCCTGTCCCAGCCGTCCACCGTGATCTTCTTGTGGGTGGATGAGGGGCGTTCCCCTTCTTCCGGGAGCGCGCTCACGATGTGTTTTGCCGGGATGTAGCCCAGCTCGCCCTTGGCAATCATGCGCCATTGCTTCTTGAGGTAGCCATCACTACCTTTCCAACCTCGGCTTCGGGGTCCCATGCGTGGCCTAAGCATCTTCCAGCTGGCGCCTGTCACACAGGA